CCAACCTAGTGATTCTGTGATTCTGTGTGCTAATGAAGAATCCATGAGGAGAAATTAATTCCTTTCCAAATTACCCGTTTGAAGATGAAAGGAAATTTATGTTTAACTAGAAGGTAGCAAGTAGCATAGACTTTTATTCTTTTCTAAAATGTACATCAACAGGAACTAGAATTTCTTTCATCCTGGTGATATTTGCTTGAAGAAATTATTTAAAGGAGAGTTTCTGTTGTGCAGATGGAGAACCTTGTAGGGTTCCTGCTTGTCTTTCCTTTGTCAGCTTCTGATGTTAATGAATTTTGATCAGTTTGCTTCTGATTAATTGACTCCATTTGGCACATTCTTCTACAACTACAGAAAGTAAAGTAAGAAAGTAAATGAAGATAAGCTTCAATTGGTAGAAGCCACTCATTTTAATTTTGCTCTGAATCAGCATTTAAAAGCACAGGTATGTGTATGATTTTTTAAAGAAATCTTGCCAGAAAAATCACATCTTTCTCTTTTTGTAACAGAGCTTGATGCCCCTAGTCAGATTGAGGCAAAAGATGTCACAGACACCACAGCTCTTATCACGTGGTTCAAACCCTTGGCTGAAATTGAAGGCATAGAGCTCACTTATGGCCCCAAGGATGTTCCAGGGGACAGGACAACCATTGACCTCTCTGAAGATGAAAACCAATATTCTATTGGAAACCTGAGGCCTCACACAGAGTATGAAGTGATGCTCATCTCTCGTCGAGGGGACATGGAAAGTGACCCCATTAAAGAAGTCTTTGTCACAGGTAAGAGGCTTGGATACCAATCCAAGCTTCTGGGAGGGTAATGCTATCACCATCAATCTTCCTGTGCTATTTGCGCCATGTTGCTAGAGTTGATAGTTACTGCATCAACACAGAATCGGCACTGTTATAGAGGTATATGAAAGTGGAGAATGTTTTTCTGTACCTTATATACCTTACTGGTTTAACAAAATATTTAGACCTCCCAAGTACCTAAATATATTTTGAAAGTGGGAATTACGTTAATCTCTTAGAAGCTTTTGCTCATCATACCCTAAATCTGTACTTCAGGAAACAAACTCCTCTGGATTACTTGCCTGTCTGCTGAGCTAAATATCTTCCATGGCTCCTATTCCATCTAAGACCTTATTTCTGCTTGTCTGAATGCGTAACAGATTAGCAGAGTATTGCTGTTTTTTCCTTCTTCAGTTCTACAAAGGTTTTCTGTCATGCTTTTATAAATTTACTCTGCTTCTTAGTGATCCTGGGAATACTTCATGAAACTGTGAGTCCTTTAGCATGTTATCAAGGCTTGATGCATTAAGGGAGCTGAGTAAATGGTACATAGAGACTTACCTCCCTTTTAATCCTAAAATGTAGTTGTTCATTCAGAGCAGGATTTGAGTCTACTATAGGTGTGAATAGTGAAAGTCCATTGAATTTCTACATAATATTCATCTTTTGTTTTGAGACTTAGAGTTCCTTTCAGCCATGAATGCAAGATATTTACTGAACAGAAATCCTAAAGATAATAATTTTTTGTTCTTAGCAGCTTTTTTCCTTTTGAAAGCTGAGGTATTTTATAAAGGAAAAATAGTATTTTCATACAAATATGTTTTCCACATGCTTATCTTGTAATAAAAAATAATTACTGAAATTGAAAATGTTATTTTTGTCTCAGGAGTTAAAAGTTTAATTTCTTCCACTGATGTTTTCCTCAAAGCTAGTGAACTTTCCATTTCGTGCTAAAAGAAATCTGCTTGATGCAGTTAAGAACATAGTGGTATCATGTGATAGGAAACTTAACTTCACCTTTATGGATCATTTCACCTTCTAAAAAGTACTGTTAAAAGAGAATGCTGTCATAAGAGAATTATTCCTATTTATTTATTTATTTATTTATGAATTGGTTGATTGACTACAGACTTGGATGCTCCAAGAAACCTGAAGCGGGTGTCACAGACAGACAATAGCATTACTTTGGAGTGGAAGAACAGCCATGCAGATATTGATAACTATCGAATTAAGTTTGCTCCCATCTCTGGTGGAGACCATTCTGAGATCACAGTGCCAAAGAGCAACCAAGCAACAACCAGAGCTACGCTCACAGGTAGGGGAACGAAGAGATTGTTGTTAAAGTCATGCTGCTGCCATGAGCACAGTAGCGTAGAGAAAAAAATTACTATACATAAGATGTACAAGCAGAGATTATGCATTTTGAGTACAAGCAATTAAATTAAAATACATGTGATATATATTTACACACCTGCAGATGGATAAGTAGCCAACAGAAGGTATGTAGCCATTTCACTTTCATGTACGTCTCTGAACCCCACTAGTCAGTTCCCTGAGTTCTAGGTAGCTATCTGTCTTTGTGGAGACAGCTTCTCATTCCTGAGTTCAACAGGTTTTTGCATGTTCTAGGGATGGTATTTATTGATGTCAGTTTGCAAATTTTCTGTGTACCTGCAAGTTGCCTTACCAACCTGCAAGGCTAGATAATGGTACTTTCTCCATGTCATATGGATGTCTACCTGGTTTTCTTATGCAGAAGTACCTATACTGCAAGCCCTTGAAAGTAGAAGCTATCTCTGATTATGCATTTGCGTAGTGTCCAAAATGTAATCTCAGTCAGCCATGATCTTTATCCTTTGGCGTGTACATGGAAAAGTATTTATTAACATCAGGTCGGCTAGAGGGCCAACTGAAACCGCGATTCTCTGCGTACGCAGGAAAGCATATATTTTATCTTGCATACATTCAGGCTTCCTTATTTAAATGAATGCCCGTAGGCATATTTCATAGACAGGAACTCATACTTCTATTCCTCATCTCTTAGGTTTGAGACCTGGAACTGAATATGGCATTGGAGTGACAGCAGTAAGACAGGACAGGGAAAGTGCTCCTGCTACCATTAATGCTGGCACTGGTGAGTAGCTGGATCCCCCTTTGTGCTCTGGAGGAAGCAGCAAGTCAGGTGGTTTCTTTTCTTTCTGTTTCTTTCATTTCCAATTAATGCTATATGAAATATTTTAGAAAGTTCTTGATTTCATTTTGCTACTAACAGGATATTTCCCTTAAGGGGAAAAAAAAGCATTTCCCCAAAGATCTTGACCTCTGAATCTGGCTTCCTTTTTCTGTACCAGGATCTCTTAATATTCTGGGAGTTTCACCTCCACGTGAGCTCCTTAATTATGTATTTATGTTAATAAATTAATTATGTAATTATGCTTACACTGATTACTCTGGCCATCTTCTAATTGTGAGAGCTTCTGGCAGGGATGGTAGTTATGGCCAAAAGGTTGATCTGACAAAGAGTGCAGCCTCAGTGGTTGCAATAGTCCTGACTGCCCTTCAAAACCAGGATTTTTCTCACAATATCCCCCTTTTCCCAGGGAAATTCTCTGAATGCTTAAATTCTGCTTCTCCTCCATGCAGTGCCTGCTGAAGTGAGTGTAATTGGGGGAAAACTGTTGTAGTGCGGTTTGTCTGTAAAAAGAGACAGGGCTCCAAAAGGTGGATAAGACACCTAGTATAGTTGTTACCCTGTCTACAGATCCCTGAAAACCTGTCCCAGGGCAGTTCAGAGACACCTCAACTTTGCTTCTTTAACCTGTAGATCTTGATAATCCCAAGGACTTGGAAGTCAGTGACCCTACTGAAACCACCTTATCCCTTCGCTGGAGAAGACCGGTGGCCAAGTTTGATCGTTATCGCCTCATTTACGTTAGCCCCTCTGGAAGGAAGAATGAAGTGGAAATCCCCGTGGACAGCACCTCTTTTATCTTGCGAGGGTTGGATGCAGGGACAGAATATACCATTAGCCTGGTGGCGGAGAAAGGCAGACACAAAAGCAAACCCACAACTGTCAAGGGTTCCACTGGTGAGTAACAGCTTTTGATGAGTGCCATGCGCCAGGTCATTGGGCAATGACTAGCCCAAGTACAACTTCATCTGATTTTTTCAGCTGTGTCTGGGGATCTGCTTAAAAACATCAACTGCCTGCAGAGCAGACTTAGCTCTGTCCAGCATGATAGACTTAACTGAGGGATAGCTGAGCATTTCCCTACCTATTGTGTTTAGCTCCATGTTCTCACTGATTTCTTGCTTATTCTTTGAGAAGACTCACAAAGAATGCAGCTATTTGTTCTGTGGGAAATGCAGACCTCATCCTTTGTTTTAAACAAAGCTGCTTTTTTGTGCATTATGTCTTAACTTGTTTTGTTTTCTACAGCCAAAATCTAAGAGGAAGACCAACCAGAATGTATTTAACATTGTTTGTTCCTGCCTAATGAATTCTCTTCACAGCATGCCTCCACCCATCATGCTTCAGCAGGGTTAACAGGGCTCTGATATTGCCCTTTTTCAGTTTTCTCATCCAAAATCTAGAAGGGCTACTGCCACAAATCTGGTCACAGTCACCATTTTCATTGGATAGCATGACTCTTATATTTGTCTGCAAAGAAGGGGTCCATTTCTGCCATATCCATTTGTACAAACCACTCCAATTAACCCATATCAGTGGACAACTTATTGAACAAGGTTTTATTCTTTGTGAAACATTTTGACCCAAGGTTTGTTGCATACAAAATTATATCTCAGTATAGACCACAAGTAAGTCCTGAATCTTTATGTGCCTTCAGGTTAAATTTTGTTGAGGCAAAGTCATAACTGCTATAGGTAAGCAGAGACAGTTAAATCAGAATCAGTTGGGCTACAATTATTGTCCTTAGCAGATATCAAAGTGTTTATGCTTTTCTCCCCAAAGACCACCTGTGAGGTAAATATATGCCAGAAGTTGTGGATTTTACAAATTAATAACTATATAGCTTAACTGATCAAAACTGGTTCCGTATTCTCTGGTAGTGTTCATGCCAGCAGAACCTCTGAATGCTTTATAGAGTCAAGTAATCCAGTACAGCGTAGAGTTATATGGTATGGTGTAAACTACAGAAAACCATCAGTACTGAATTACTTTTTTGATGCATAAGTCAGGCCTGTGTCAAATACAGAGAAAAATCAGGAAGCCTTGAGGCACACTCATACAAAAGGAAGCCGAAGGTTTATGTGGCAGGAGTGAGCAGGCTTCGATTTTTCCAAAGTTATTTGTTTCCCCATCTGTCTGAAGACTAAGTGGTCTCAAAAGAAGTATGCATGGACGGTGAAAAGGCAGAAACAACATGCTGTGGAATTTCACAGTCTGGTCGTTCCAGCAAGCTTCCTTGTGAGCTTCCAAAGTCTCACAAGGTGGCTTCTTTTTCCTGGCTTGTTTTTGTTTGTGTGTTTTTGTGTTGTGTGGTTTTTTGCTTTTTTTTTTTATAAATACATTCATATGGCCAGTGTATTTGTTTTAAGTCTTTACTCAGGGCAACCAGTAAACAAAGTTCTCCACGATGGGGTCCTGAGAAGCAGTAGTTGACATAACCTGTCTCTGTGACCTTCTTCCTGCGTAGGAATGGACACATCCAAACACATGAGCATGGGGAGTCAGAAATGCTCTGTAAGTCTGTGGGGCATAAGACAAGAGGTCTCTTCTTCAGTTTCCTTTTTGTCCACCCTCAAGCCAGTCCTCTTTATCCATGTTCCCAGTACTTGGGAGGTCCTGAAGGCCTCAGGCTAAGCCAAACAAACTTGTTTAATCTTCTCTTGCAGAGCTATGGGGGACCTCAGGTCCTTTGCGCTGCTGGGGAGAGTACTTGGAGCAACCAGGAAGAGAGGAATGATTGAAGTGGAAAATTGGAAAATGCCAGTAGCACAGCTAGGACTGGACTAGCTCTTCTCAGTGGGTGGAGGAGACAGTCCTGCTGTTTAGAGGCAAATGTGCCACCCCCGCTGAACAAGGGAGCCAGGGACTGTGGAAGGGCTGAGAGTTTTTCTTTTCAGAATTTCCTGTGCTCCTCCAGATTGCCAGTTTTTCATCTTGTATTCTTCCCAGCCTCTTGATGGTTCACTCAGGCTTCTCTGCTGGCAGGTATTCAGGAGTTCCCCACACATTATTTTTGTTTGTATAGTGAATTTTCTATCGCTGAAGATAAAGCTTCTTTCAGCCCCAGAGCTGAGGATCTTCAGTTGCTGCCTTCTCTCCCCTCTCACATTCTTCCTGTTACCTTTTTATGTATATCAACTCTCCACACACAGACAGCTGAAACATTCAGAGCTTGTGAATCTCTAGCAAAGGACACGTCACAACATCTTCCATAGGATAGGATGGCAGCCTTCTGTTGTTTCTGTCTCTTCATATGGATGAAGTGCAGCTCAAGTGACAAAGTTTTTTTTTAAAAACCAATGTCCATGATTCTGCATTCAAGGGATGGTAAAGATTATAAAGTGAACAGTTTGCTAAATATTATTTAGTTTTGCTGAAAAGGAAAGACTAAGTATTTCACACTGTCATTTGCTTGTTTCTTTCTTCATAGCTCTATATAGTCTAACCCTAATGCAGGAAATGACTCCTGACCCGGAGGAGCTGTCTGGTTCTGGGAGCTTTCTTGCTCCAGAGGCTTCAGGGATGCAGGAGGATACACTGAGGGACCTTGTGGTCTCGAGGGTAACAGATCACAGCTTTAGTGTCTCATGGTATGCAAATACAGGAGTCTACAGTAGTTTTGTGGTGGAGTACAAGGAAATGCCACTGGCAGCTGGGCCCTCTGCAGAAACCTTCCTGCCCAGAGAATCCCTAGGTGCTGTGATTGATGGCCTCCAAGCTAACACTTCCTATAAAATCAAGGTGTATGGATTGGCTGGAGGACAGCGCTCTTCTCCTCTGGAAGCTGTGGCTACAACAGGTACCTGCTTTCTGTTATTAATGAAGGTATCACAAACTAAGGTACTGCTTATTTGGTAGAGGTCCCACCCAGCATCGCACTAAGGTTTTGGTTTAGAACCACTTCAGAGATCAAAGGAAATGAGCCATTTCATTAGTTGGAGGGACCTTTCTGTCAGCATGTCTTGAGAATGTTACATCAGATTAACAACTAATCTGCAGGGTAAGCACGTAACCCAGCTCTGAGGAAGCTGAGCAGTCAGACTGCAGCTTTGTTCTTTCTTGCTCTGGTTCTGGAACCCTGCCTGCATAGCACAATGTGGGTCCTGGAGGAGGAGGGGTGGTGATACATCAGGCATGAGAGGCCTGTGGAGATAAATGAGCGGACATTAAAGAAACCAAGTGCCAGCCTCAAATTCCTCTGTTGAAGGACCCAGATTGTGCAGCAACTGTTGATGAATCGTGGATGTGATACTGTCTTGCCTCTGGAATTGAGTTGCACATAGGAGCATGGCTTGGAGAAGTAACTTTTCCATTCTGTTGAATGTTTTTAAGAAGATTTATGCTATTTACCGAAGACCCTTGTCTGTGTTGTGCGTCAGTCCCTCTTCCTCTCCTGGCTTCTACGAGTCTTAGATTGCGCCACCCTTTTTTATACAAACTCAAAGAAACATTAGGAAGAATGATTAGGTGAGCCAGTTCAATGGGAAACTGCAGTGCTGACCACTGGGAAACTAAATTTGCCACTAAAGATTGTCTGTTGCTCCAGCTGATTCCTCTGCTGAGAGTACCTGGAACCTGACTTCAATATGAGTTTTAGTGGTAGCTACTGTAGTATTTCTGGCTTGTGATACAGTGCAATGCTTTCTTTATGAAATTCAGAGTTGCACAGGCACTGTAAGCGCAGTTTAATCAGCTGGTTGAGAGAGGGGAAAGCTGTTTAGCCAAAGGGGTCTGAAAAGAATGCAAATAGCTCGGTAGGCTGTCATGTCTTACAGTGTGCTTGAGCTGATGAGAGACTCTGCAGTGAAACTGGCTGATCACCCCTCTTGGCAAATAATATAAAATCCAAGAGACAGAAGCAAGAAATAATACAGAATACTGTTTGCTCCATCCCAAGGAACTGGGGAAATGTCCTGGCAGGACATTAACATTCTTTTTAGTAAAATCGCCAGTGAAGCATTACAATTAAATTCCTCAAAAGGCTAGCAGCAGCAGTGTAGACATATTTAGGCCATATTCAGACTGAAGATTTTACTAAGAGAATGATATTGAGAAATATTCCAGTCTGAGAGAAAGAGCATATGTTTGTTGTCCTTCCAGTTTCCCTTCTACATAGCTTTCAGCTCTTTGGCATCTATTATTCATTCATCTTGCCATCATGAATCATTCTATCTGGCTGTCATCCACCCACCTAGGGTCCTAGAGTTCTCTTTCTCTTCTCCCCATCTATTCCCCTAGTTGCTAAGTCAAGTGTTTGAACTCCATTGGTCTTGTTATCCTATTTGGAGTTTTCCAAATTTCCTGTTATAGTATTCTATCTGCTAAACTATGAACACTGATACTCTCCGTGGTGTCAAAGTATTTTCCATGTATTCATATAATTTTCATTTTTCTGTTTGTTTGTACACAAACCTACATATTCCTCTATTCCACATTAACTTAATGTGGGGTATATGTGTGTTTGTATGTATGTGTAGAGGGTAGACCACTCTTTCTCATCCACAAATTCGTTTGTGGAGTCAAGTCCTTAAACCCAAGGTAATATTCAGAATTAGGTCTGAAAAAAAATCAGAGGTACTGTAACTACATATAATTACATATGCTCCATGAGACAATCTGTACATGGCAACCTCCCATGTAGTTGTTAGTTTGTATGATAAAATTAATCAACTTGTGACAGCAAAATTGTGAATTAAAATGCCACTTAGGTGGATGGTCCCTCAGTTTTTATATAATACAGTTGAACTGCTGCTGTATTTCCCATTCGGATTAGAGTAACCAAGTCCTTGTGTGATTATACTATAACTGGCAGGAATCTGGGAGAAATGTCAGTAGGGATGGTCAAGTAAAATGAGGGGAAAATGAGAAGCCAGTTTTGACTAATGTTACACAAGGTTTTCTCTAAGATCCTCAGTATATCAGGAGCATAATGCCAGCCTTATTTTTTTTTAAATTTTTCCCTTGTATTTTCAGATGTTTTGTCCTCGGTTTCCAATTCAGGGTGCATGGCAGTTTCCCAGTGGGACCATCCACAGCATGGAGCTGTACCTGTGTAATGTGCTGCTGCCCTGTCCTCCCCATGGGTCTGTTCAGTCTGTCTATGTATGTTTTCTGCAGAAATACTCCACAGTAAAGCCTGGCTACCACTCTGCATGTTAAGTAGATGGCCTTAAGGCTGACAAGTACCAGTGCGCTGCTTGATGCTATGGTTTTTTGCCTGTTCCCGGAATAGGAAGGAGCTGGTTGGCATCTAATGGTGCACAAGCGGCTGAGAGTCGCAGAAGGCTAACGGTTCTGTACTGCATGGCTTCCTCCTTTGTTACATGAGCTCAGTAACCCTGGTGCAGTCAGATATTCGTTCTGACGGCCGGTTTACTGAGAAAGAGAGAATTATGCCAGTGGTTACCATTGCAGATAGGCTGGTGTGATGACAATGTGGCTGTCTTCAGGTTGCAGCATGTGCAGGGCCTGGTTCAGAGCATGTAATGATCAGGGGTAATTTAAGGAGGGCCCTTACCTAAGCCAAGAATATCAATGATATATGTAAATATAAATCACTGTTTGCCTCACAGGCTTCTCTCCTTCCTGGAGGTGAGCAGAAAATAATATTTTTACATCTGTGTTTGTCCTGAGAGTATGTTTTCAAGATAACATTTCTGCATTTATTTGAAAACATTTTTAATTTATCTTTCTCCTCCGAAAACTTCTTTTTTCTGATCCATGTATGAATTTGGAGACAGATACTGAAACCTGAGTATGTATTTGTGCTGATCTGATTGATGGTGGTAGATGACTTGCTCTCTCTTAATTGAATGCAAGTGGAGCATGAAAGCAAGGAATTCATTAAGATGTGAAATGATGTGATTTTCCACTAATTAGGAGATAATTCTGCATGTCAGAAAAATCACCTGCTTGTTGCCTTGCAGCTGTGATCAGAAACACCTTCTCTGTGATCTCCAGAGTTCTCAGCTTTTCAGAATCTGTCTGTTCTACAGGATATACTCACAGATCATTCAGCATGTTGAAGGCCAAGTCTTTTTCCCTTCCATTCCTCTAGATCTCTCTAAAGAAAGATTGCTGAGGTTCTTTCTGTCCTAGTTTTTAGGTGAGGATGTGTGTCCCCTCTGCCTTTTTTGAAAATTCTGCATGTATCCAGATGGATAATTCCTTCAAGCCTGTTTTTGATCGGATAGGATGAGATTTAGCATGTTTCTGCTGTGGCTGATTTCTCAGTCTGGATTTGGATATGTTTGCAGTATTTGGCATGCATTCCACTTACGGTTTGTATCAGAAGCAATAACTGACGTGCTGTAGTAAAGATAAAAGGCATGTTTGAGAGGCTTAGGATTCAAATCCTCACCGATGTAAACTATCAAAGTTATTTGCAGGTAACCAAAGTGTGCTGATTTACATCAGTTGAGGATGTACCTCTTTCTCTGTTGGAAGCATTTGTTCATCTCTGTGTTTAATGGTTGTTGCTCTGGATCTGCTAGTTACTGTGGTTGTGTAAGAACCATGTTGTGCTTGGTGATGCTACCTTTGCTTGTGGCCTGGATTCAGTCTCCAAAAAAGATGTACCTATCTGTTTTCTCTGTTCTTAGAGCTCTTTAATGCAAAGCACACAAACTGTTTCGTAGCAGATGTTAGCTGTCTTTTGGTATATTTGGGGGTTTATTATCAGGAAATTTTAACTTGTAATTTACCTCTGTTTAGCACATCTAATCCCAACACCTGGAGAATCAATCAATGAAACGTCATTTAACCCTACCAGTCCTGCACCTACAGAGCTAAATTATTTTACAAACCCCAGCACTGATTCTCATGCTCTACTTTCGGTGCCCACTGACCTTCCCATCTCAGAAGCCACTGGTGCTCTTCATGACCTTAATATAACAGACAGGACTTTCAGTAGTTTCATCTTGTCTTGGGCAGCACAGGATGAGGTATTTGATCAGTTCTTTATCACTCTGAAAGACCTGTCCAGTTTAAACAGAACACAAGAAATGTTTTTGCCGGGAAACCGTCGAGAAACAGAAATTACCAATCTCACAGCTGGCACACAATACCAGATTAACCTCCATGGAAGCACTCAAGGTCAGCTCTCTTGGTCCCTGGAAGCCCTAGTTACTACAGGTATTTTTTTAATGGATCTATTAGCCATATGTTCCTTTTCTGCTTTGAAATACAGAACTTCATTTCCGTACCGCTGTTCCACTACAGAAATGCTAGGCTTTGTGAGTGATGCATTTCTTCGTTGTTTTTTTTTTCTTTCTTCCTTTTGCACGGGGTAAAACTCTTATTGCTATGGAATGAGAGCCTTGAGTGGTGCAGCATGGATAATGCCCCATGCAGCTTTTAAGGTGATGTAGCATCAATTCTCTCTTTTCAAATTGCATGCGAAGAGAGAGATTGATGCATCTGCTATTTACAAGGCACATGAAAATAGCAAGATGCTACAGGTATTTATCTGGATTGTGGTTCAAACACAAGAGAGATTGCAAGGAGGCTGCAGTTTGCAGCATTGGCATGGAAGTGGTGATGTCAGAGGAAAAAAAAGATTGTAACACATTGGGAGTATACCTTTCTGAAAACTTCCACCTCTTATCCCTGTTGCATGAATTTCATGAGGAAACAGGCCTATAGCCACAGGGCTCAGTTCAATAACGGTCAAAGTACCAGTGCATAAATTCATGTCTGGAGAACCTACTAGAGACTAAGGACTGTACCTGTCCATCACCCAAAACCAAATTCATAGTATGAGATAAAATATTTACTTAGAAACACAGAGTATTTCACACCTACTACAAGGCTAGAGCAGTCTCATCTCTCAATGGTTTGTTCTCTCTTTTTTTTTTTTTTAAGTAAGAAACATCATCCCTTGATATCATTTGCCATGACAATGTCATTGTTTTGTCCTATATGTTGGATGCTTGATGGATGGATGGATGGATGCTTTTGGAGGTCTCCAACCGTCCAGGTTGGTGCATGATTTTGTATGAGAAATCCCTCGGTCCCTAGAGAGCATGATGGGGTTGCGTGCGCTTCCATTTCAGACATGCATGAGAAAGAAACGGGAGGAAAAGAGACTCTGCATCTTGGAGGCGAACGAAACTGAGCACTCTTCAGAGAAATCTGAATTGCTTTTAAGTGGTGATGATTACTGCATTAATTATTATAATCAAGCTTTTACTTAAAAGATTTTACCTTAGTGTAACTTTTGGTTTAGTTTCATTTTAAGGAAATGTGTTTGTTTTATTTGTTTCTGTTGCCACCAAAAGGTCATTATTTCTGATACCAGTTCCTTTTCTGTCCTGCTTTCTCTTTTTCAGCTAAACAGTGCTATTTTGACAAGATTCATATTTTGCTTCAATGAGTCTCATTTCTGTTCCTGATAAAGCAAAACGGCTCTGGATTAATGCATTTTTTTATTGAACATCTTTGTGTTATTTCATAAACAGTCTCTTCTTTTCTAACAGGATGGGAAAAGCTTGTCAAAACGTTTGTGTTCCCGAGTAGTAGCAATTTACTATACATTAGTGAACCTATGAGTGCTCAACCTCTGAAAATACAACCCCAGCTACCTCTATGAGACTATGCAGCAGTCTTACAATAAGCATGCTGTTTTTGCAGGGGGAAAATTTATATATGAGTAATGTTGCTAAGCCTAATTTTAATGTATTCCAGGGCCCCTTTATCTTCTGCCTTAAAATATGCATAAAGCTTAAAGTTGAAGTTTACAACTGAGAAATCTGATCCGTTTCCCTTCATGCATAATTGCATAAATTCTTAGTTGTGCAGATTGGGATTATTCAGATAGATTCTATTCTTATTATAATGCTTACATGTCAACAATGCAATTAAATAAGAAAATTGCTAGAAAATCATCACAGTTCACAGGTCAGTGATCATATAGCAAGATTTTTCTATGTAGAAGAAAAACTGGTATTATTTTGTCATTTTCCCATATGACTGTTAATTTTAAGGAATCAGTTGTGTTTCCTCTGTACCAGAGGACTTTCTATTCTTGCTGAGAAAATGACCTAAACTTTCAGATTTAACAGCATCAGAAGTTTAGCTCTGTTAGAAGGTTCCAAACTTCCTTGGCTACCCCTGTGATGGCTTATGGGAATGTTAATTTCTGTGAATGCAGATTTCAATTTTAGATTAATATCACTACCTCTGAAACTCCAAGATTCTCTCCCCCAGGAAGGTTGTGTGGACAGAATAATGTAAGGAAGACAAATCCATTAAAATAGACATGCTGACATGGAGGAATTTTCCCCTTCTTTATTGTTTCGGATTAGAAATAGTTTGGAAGAATAAATAACACCCTTCATGTGGACAAAATTAAAAGCATAAACATTTGAATCCCAACTACTCTAAAATCAGTGTCTTCCTGCCCTTACAACAGGCATTATTGCAGTATTCACAGTCACTTCATAGTGGCAAACAATGAGTTGTTAATAGTGCAGGAAAATGGTTATAGTAATACTTACTTCTCCCATAGGGAGTTGTAATTAAGGATGGCAAAATACTTGCAGCTGTACGATGGTTTATAAGCTGCTTTCTGTAAGCAGTCTTTTAGCATTAATGTGGTTATTATTTATTATTACAGTTCTTTTCTTACTGTTCTGTTTTGTCATGTCTCTGAAGAGACTTTACAAGTTACCTGGGGCAGCTGAGAATGTAAATACGTGTATGTGGGTGCATCTCCGTGTCACAGATTACAAATGAAATTCATTAACACGGAACATCATTAAATAATACATCATCACCACTAGTCTGTAATCTGAGTAACTGATTGACTCTCTGTCCTTATTCAGAGGAGGAACCTGAGCTTGGAAAATTAACAGTATCAGAGACTGGCTGGGATGGTTTCCAGCTCACCTGGACAGCAGCTGATGGGGCCTATGAGAACTTTATCATTCAGGTGCAGGAGTCTGACAATCCCGAAGAAACCTGGAATATCACAGTCCCAGGTGGACTGCGGTTTATGAATGTTACAGGCCTCAAGGCCAACACACCTTATAACATCACACTTCGTGGTGTGATTCAAGGCTACAGGACCAAACCCCTTTCTGTTGAAACCATGACAGGTATCTTTTCAAGTCACTCATCCACTCTTATGGCTCCCTTTCTTTGCAGACAGTGATGTGAAGCCAGAGCTATTGCAACTGCTCAGCAAAGCTTGCTCACTTGGTCAGCTTTGCATGGGGTGCACTGAACTCATTAAAGCTTGGCTGAACATCTCTGGCATGGAAATGTCTCATGATCTCCAATATGTCTCATGACTTTCCAATAAGAGTCTCAGTGCCCCCATGGAGCCCTTCACTTTGAGAAATGCTGTTTTTCCCCCACCTCAGAATGGCTTGTTTTGTTCCCTTGTTTTTCTGCTGGTTGACACTAACAGCAAAACCCAACTGGCTGTTGTACATGCTCGTAAAAGGCTAGGTTGCCTTGTAAAATTATAAAAATGCATTCTTTATAACCCAGCCAATCAAAGCCTGAGAGTATGTTTAGTTTTTACTCTTCAGAATCTACCTCTGAAATTATAGAATCACAGACTCTCTGGGTTGGAAGGGACCTTTAAGGTCATCTAATTATGTACTAATGCACATTATGCACTAGCTTCTGGGTAAATACAAACTCAGGGGTATACTCTGTGCATCTGACTCAAAGACAAGGACAGACACCTTCTATACGTTCTCATGTAGAAAAGAACAGGAATAAATTCCTATCAAAAGTAGTACCATATATTAAGCCACATAAGGTTAAACAATCTGATTGGTCTGAGAATGATATAATGCAAGACGACCAAATTCAGCAGAACTATCCTGGCATAAAACTGACTTGAAAGAAGGAAGGTAAGCCCTGTATTACCAGAAGGTTGCATGAAACTCACCAAGAGGCACAAAAATAATTTTCCGGCTGATCTTGTGAAAGACGGCAGTTTTAAATGAGAGCTTATCATGAGCTTTGACTCTGAGAGTTAAATATATACTCATGTCTATCCTGTATGGCTCAGTGATTCTTCCAGGTGTTATGATCATTAGTAATGAACAGGGTATGAATTAATTGGAAATAAAGGGTCACCAGTGGCTCTTCCTTCAGATAATTTCTTGCGGACAGTATCTGCTGCCTCTGGGCTTTCTTACAGACCTTTGCAACCTCCTGTGATTGTGAGATAGCTAGAGCTTGCTCAAGTTTGACTTCCCCAAGCACATATTAGTCAGCACAGAAGGGGACAAAAGTACGCTTAAGAACTAAACAGAATTAAAATGTGAAACGCAGTAGAGCTTGCTTGTTTCAATAATGCTTTAAGCAGCTTGGCTTAGGTAGAAATGTGTCTGGCACAAGGCACTTGCTTTGGGCTGCGTCCCGCTGCAGGCTAGAAGTCCTGTGCTTTGAGAGTCCTGAGTGTGAGCTGGTAGCAGATTGCCCATTGAAAACAGACAAATATGGCTAGACAAAGGAGGCTGTACAGGGACTGACAAGAAAACAGACATCATGGGTGTCCTGCCTAAATATGCAGTTTGCCCTCTTTTTATTAACTTAATGAAAACAACAGAAGATGCCCCGCTGCGGTTTTCCCTTCCCTTTCTGGGTCATGCTCAGCACCCGGCTTTTCAAAAATTTCCCTTGTGGGGACTTCCAATTGTCAGAATTTTCTGAGCCTTCCTGTAACACATCAGGGATGTCTACAGAGAGGAAGAAACCCCAAGGCAGCTATCACTGTTTTGCATTTTGGCTCCAGCTCCAAAATTACATGCCAGCTTTCATAGGCTTAAGCTGAAAGAGAAAGCAGAAGAGCAAACAAAACACAACCTTTTCCTTTGGATAAAGCAATAGCTCTAGTTTTAGCTTCTCCTAAAGCTGGAAGCTGACTTTTCCAAATGCCCCGGGGTCATTCAGAAAAGTTCTTTTGCATCTGCTTTCACGCTCAGATCTCAAAGATGCATGCCTGCCCCTGGGAGCTAAAGGGAAATAGCCATTGCGCTAAAGCTTCTTTTTCTTTTTTTCCCCTCTTTTTTTCTTATTTAACATTTTTAGGTGCTTTCATTTGATTTCTTCCCCTTAGTCCCTGTCTGCTTGTAGCAAGCTTTTACTCAAACCCTTTTCTCCAACGGCAGCTTGGAGTGCTGCCAGCATGAGCAGAGAGAAGCACGGCATTTCTGAGCAGGAAGAGGTACAGGGCTGTCTCCTTCTGACCAATGTTGTTTCCTTCCTCAGGAGTGCACCCAGAAGTTGGTGAGCTAACCGTTTTCAACATTACTCCTGAAAGCTTCAACCTTTCTTGGACAACCACCAGTGCGGACTTCGACATCTTTACTATTGAAATTATTGATTCTAACAGGTTGCTGGAGCCCATGGAGTTCAACATCTCAGGCAATTCAAGAACTGCTCATATCTCAGGGCTTTCCCCCAGCACTGATTTTATTGTCTACCTCTATGGGATCTCTCATGGTTTCCGCACACAGGCAATAAGTGCTGCAGCTACAACAGGTACATAAAACCTACCTCAGTGCTAACTCTCCTTTCTCCTAACTCTTCCTTACAGGTTGTGCCCCTTTCTTCTAACCCTTCCTTACAGGTTGTGCCCCTTTCCCTGCCCTCAGCTACCCCATCAGTCTACCTATCACCAAATATTCTACCTCATTGTTTGACACCTTCTAAAGAAGACCTGGCGGAGACATTTTGAACAGTGAATGTTAATCCACCATCCCATCCAGCAAAGTCAGTCAATCACATTGTGATGTGATTTCATTCGCACAATAAGTTTACTCTTGTTCAAACATTAAGGTTGTGGCAACCACTGACACAGATGAGAAGCAAAACAAATTTCCCCCAAAACAAGTGGGAGATGATTCATTATGTTAACCTTGCAGCATGTGTTTGCATCTGTCACACAGTGAAGAGAGAACACTATTTCTCTCAGACAGGCTGATTTCTAGATACAGAATTTCTGTAAAATTTTCTCCAGATTCTCTAAATATATTTCAGGCACATTTCAGTTTATGATAGCAGACTCCTACAAGGCAGATGTATTGACTGAATTCAACTTCAGAATTCAGTGTACATTGGATGAGAGTTTGAAAGAGTCCATATGACTTGATGTTGGTGAATGAAATAGGTAGGCATTTAGTTATTGGCACATTGCACATCCTGAGATTTTACAGCTCACAATTTTTCCAGAAAAGATGGGGAACTCAAATGTTCAATGTGCTCTAGCCAATTACAGTATGGAAGTGGGAGGAGATGGCTAGACTACGGAAGCAGAAGGTGCATTCTTGTAGCGGGCAGATAATAGCTCACATTATGATAATTTAATATCTCTACTGAATTTTGCCTGCTGACATTGTCTCAGGAAAAGTTTCCACAGCAATTTGTCATAGCAGTAGGTTAGTGTGGTCAATGACATTAAGCAGAATATAAAACTTCAGTGATCAGATAACACAGTTGCAGCTTCTAGGATCAGCAGATTGTGACTATCCTCACTGAATCACGGGTAACATGGGCAGGGTGACTGCAGGGGCAGTGGTATGAAAAACATTGAGAAACTTGAAAGGCTAGATGATCTTTGTGACCTGTGGTTCATGTGAATTCGAACTTCTCTATTATTTTATTTTGTTGCCTTGGGTTTTAATAACTGCAATATATTTCCATTTGTTTTTCTTCCCATAGTAGAGGAACCTCTCCTTAGAAAACTCACTGTATCAAATGCTACCTCAGACAGCATGTCACTCACGTGGGAAGCACAGGACAATGCCTTTGACCATTTTATTCTAGAAGTCAGAAACTCTGACTTCCCTTTGGACTCCCTGGTGCACACAGTGCCAGGGGTCTCCCGGCGCTATGTAGTCACCAACCTCAAAGCTGCCACTAATTACACTGTCCAACTCCATGGTGTAATTGATGGGCAAGGTGGTCAGACCTTGACAGCACTGGCAACCACAGGTATTTCACTGTTTCACCTTCCAGGTTTGCTTTCTTCTCTTTTTTCTTTTGCTGTCCACCGAACTGCTCTAAAACATGGCTCCAACTCATCATTGTTCCTTTGGTAAATTATAGGGAGATCATTATGAGGGGAGGCTGAAATACACTGGGCTTGAGAGCGCTTGGAAAAAATACAGATCCGAGACAATGGAAGAGGCTGAAAAAGTGCCCCCAGCATTAAGGGAGCCAGTAGTAAACCATGATTGGTTTCCTTATATATACACTTATTTGCAAGTTCTGTGTATATATAATTGACTTGCTCCAGATAGTTAATGTTTTTCACAGAGTATCTTTGCACTTGATCTGGAATAAAGTTCTTGTTTATCCCATCCTCACTTGCTTTGTTGTGGGTGGGAGGCCTTCATGTCCTTAGCAGCCTGGAGAGGCACCTGCATGCTGTTTTTGTTCTTTGTTCTTAAAACCAAATGTCTTCAAGACATTTGCATCTCTTGAGGGATTTTCATGCAGCATGCTAAATGATCAAACAAAACTGCATGGAGTGGTCTGGCCGCCTTGTGCTGGTTCTGATGTTCTTCTCTGCCTACTATTTTTATGTTCCCAGCAGAGAGCAGGGCTCAAAAAGCAAGTTCATCCATTCTTGACAGTCAGCCCACTACTGTCACTCACATTTCTACCTTTGAGTCTCTAAGACCTGTCTTGTTTCACTGGGTGTCAGAGCTTTTCCTAGGATGATAGTGATTCCAGGATGGCAGGAGATCACTAAGACTCGCCTGAACACATAATTTCAACTTATTTTGCATGTAGTGTTCTTTGGAGTCTGGGTGTTATGATGTGAACATTCCTGACTGGATGCAAGTGGCATGTGAAGGAATGTGGCCATTTCAAGATGAGATTGGAAAGGATCAGTTTGTCTTCTCTGGCCTGCATGCAGGGCTGATGGCTCCATGCTCTGTTTCACTGGGTTCTCCACCCAAGCCTGTTTGCTTTGTGGATATTTTCTCATCTCCTCCCCTGTATTCGGAAGTACCATGCTTACATGGTGACATCTTCACTGTCAGCCATGAAGGCATTGACGGTCTGTGGTTGACAGCATGACAACAGCACGTGTCCTTAATTGGGGCCACTTGGATTCACCTGTTCCTAAGTAATTCCAGAGAAGAAGGTGGACTATTATTTAAAATTCTTGCAATGAGGGACGGGCATAAATGTTGGAACATCTTGCAGCAGTTCATATTTTAGTTAAGAAAAGGATTTCATTCTTTCACTGTTCTCTTTGTTGGTGGGATACTTTCTTACTTTTCTCCCAGCATGAATCACTCAGTTATTCTCCTGTATCTCACTGGCTGCATTTCCCAAGGTGTTCTTGGTTTATACTCAATTGGCAAGAGAAAAAAATAGAAAATGAGCCCTGAGAGCAGACACAGCATTCTCTGACCACCTGGCTGCCAAGTCATGTTTATGCTCTCTCTGTGCTCTAATGAATCTTTGATGTTTTTATGCTAAATGGAATAGCTTTACAACAGGACGGGTGAGGAGCTCTCCCCCTCCTATAGCCTGAAGGCCAGGTTTCTCCCCTGGCAAGGGAGAGATGTGATTTTGAATTTCCTCCAGCAGAAAAGGAAAGTCTCTACTTCTTTAAGAAGTGCCCTGACCACTGAGCAGTCAGAAAGCAGAGCAACAGCAGTGTTGTGGGGTTTTTTGTTCAGTCTATTAGATATTCTCTGATTGTGCCTAATGAGAGGATGAGGAACACCTTATCTGTGGAGTCCAGGGAGGTTTTGGCCTGAGATTAGTGCTGAGATAATCACTATTAGGACTGAAACCCCTCATAAACTTGAGGGTCCAAAAATAAAAGTATCTACAACTCTAGGCAACAGAAACATGAAACAGGAGCTGAACTGGGATTTCAAGGATGTCTGTTTTGGACTCACCTAATTCCTGCCTGAATCCTACTTTATCTGCTTTGGAATTGCTGTGGGTTTGTAGTCCCATCAAATTCCCAGTGAGGAGTTCCTGCAGTTTTTATGGTTTTACTAAAGGGCTACATACTGTTGGTGCTTCTGTAAATCAGGCCCACATTTCATTAGGAAAATTGAGGCTTTTTAAGAAAATTGAATGAAACAATAAATTAAGAGTCAGCACTAATTTCAGTGGCTTCTTTCCAAAACCTTACAAAATAGCTGTTGAAATGCTCCTTTTTTTTTTTTCCTTTAATCACTGTGAAACAAAGCTAAACCATTCAGCCTTATCTTTAAGCATCTATAAACCTCCCCTGCACATTTCCCCCAGCTCCCCAGAGTAATGCTGTCTCTTCACCTGTGTTCCTTTCTTCTTCAGAGGCTGAGCCACAGCTGGGCACGCTCACACTCACAAACGTTACCCCCGACAGCTTCAACCTCTCATGGACCACAAGAGATGGGCCTTTTGCCAAGTTTGTTATACACATTAGAGATTCCTATGCAGCACACGAACCCCAGGAGCTTACAGTGTCGGGAGGTGCTCGCAGCGCTCACATCTCAGGCCTGCTAGATTACACTGGCTATGACATTAACATTAAGGGGACCACCAATGCAGGTGTTCATACAGAGCCCCTCACTGCTTTTGTCATGACAGGTATCTGCTTAAAGGTTTACAGTCTATTTATTGGCTTATAAAAATATATATTCCAGCATGGATAAAAAGGAAAGACTCTCTACAGCACTGAATATCTTGTCCAGCAACAATGGTTTTGTTTGCAGGCTTAGTGCAAGGATGGGTCAGACCAGTCATGTTGACCTTAAAAAATTTTCAAGGAATACTAGTTTAAAGTGAGTTAAGAGCCCTCTGGAGTCTTTCTGTCATGTGTAATAATCTTTTTTAACTCCTGAAGTTTGAGGGGAAAATCTGCCTAATACTCAGTAGTTGTATCTGAAGGATGCAGAGAGGATTGGATTTTAGAACACGTTCTGTCCTGTGATGTCCCCTAAACACATCCCTTACGCCTGTGTATTTTGGCCAGATTTTGACTGGGATCGGTTGCACGTCACACGCCTCCTAGATGATCAAATAAATGTCACAGAGTTCACCATCTATGTATATGGTGGCCAATATGTGCCGCTAGGGCTTGTCACCTAGGCTTCTCGACACCCTGAATAGGATTAATGGAGAAACTGAGACCTTTTCCTTTTTCTCCTCGCTTCAGTAACATGCAGCGGGATCACCAGTTGCAGCAGCAGCACCCCTCACAGCATCTGGGCTGCCAGTTTCTGTGCGAGGCACTGCCCACGATCATTCTCCTCAGGACGAATGGACGCATTTTGCACCGGCTCTGACCTGCCCCGATGACATAGATCACATAGTTAGAAGCGAGCAGCTGTTTGCTTTCACCAACCCTGCTCTTTTGCTCTACCAGAGCACAAATGCTTCCTTTTTGAAAGTGCACCATGGGCATGGGTATTTGAGAGGAAGCTACCCACAACTAGGTAAATATGTGGCACTCTCTACACAGCAGAAGGATGTGCTAGCAGTTCACACACACCTGCTGGGTTTAGAGTGTTGGTGTCACTCAACACCTATGCTAGGAAAATAATTTCAGCATTTGGGCTCACTATTTGTTTTGTCACATTTGCCACATACCCAGACACGAAACCAAGACGTGAATCTTTGAGATTGCTTGATTAGAAGCAAGTAAAAATGTCTCCAAACTGAGTAAATTTGAGCTGAATCTCTGGCACCCAAATGTGTAAACATCAAAACATAAGGACTTCCAAATTCTAAAACTTTAGGAAGGAATTTTTATGCCAAATTCTTAGAGAACATCAATTTCAACAGTTGTGAAATGTCAAACCCAAACCCCAAACCCTTTCAGAGAGAAAGTTTTGTGTTTAAGTAACTGGTATTTTCTGAAGTAAGTGGAATTTGAATGATTGGAAGATCAGATGAGTTGGCTCCTGGGCCAACAAAGCAAAGTTTGACAAATAGTTTAGAGAAATACTAGCAATGCCTGGGATCCAGGATCAAGGCCATGGCTTAGCAGAGCCAGTTGATCTTCCTATGTGACTTGTCAGCTTTTGAGTGAGCCAAATACACTGAGAAACTATCCTGTGAAAATTTGGCCCTTTTTTTTTTTCCAGACTTGGTGGGAAAGTTTTGAGGATTTGATCTACAGCTTCTAAACTTTGACAAATGTCATGTTGAGGTGGAAAAAAAGACCCTTCACTGGAATTTCCTTAAGTTGTCAACATACCACACTAGCAGCTGCCTGTGAAGCTCTTTGGACAGATTACTGCTCTGTTCTGCAGTCATTAGCCCCTGCCCTTAGCCAGTGCAAAATCTGCCTTCTCTCCTATCCCCCACAAAAAAGAATCTTGCAAGCATTTAGTACTTGCACTGGCTATGACCCTGACTGATTATTGTCCTGCTTCTGGCAGTCCTTCTGGCATCTCTGACCCCTCCACCATTGAAAAGAAAAGCTGGAGATATTCACGTGAAGTAGAGAGGTAAAGAAGCAAAATACGGGAATTGTGAATGCCAAAGTTGAGGCTTGTCCCTAAGAGCACCGGTGGTGGAGACAAGTGGAAGGAAATGAAAGCTTTATGCATAGCATTTCTAAAACAGTTTTGGTTATAACTGTCTTTCTTACAGTGCATGTGTAACAGAAGAAATGTGCTTACACAGTGAGCTTGGAAGGAATTTCAATGGAGCATGTGAGATGAGGTGCTGAAACACCCTTGATAAAAATTAAGAATTGAGCATCTACTTCTGGAAGCTCCATTGAAAATCCTAGTCTTGTGGTCCTGGCTATGCACTTCTATTAAATCCATACTTTGGGGAAAAATGTGATTTATGTTTGGTGGAATCTGTGACACTTTCTAATTTGCAATGTTTTTCGCTTCTTTTTTTGTGTGTTTTTGCACCTTCCCTTCTTTTAGAGGCCATGCCCCCACTGGAAAACCTAACTGTCTCTGATATTAACCCTTATGGGTTCACAGTGTCGTGGATGGCATTGGAGAATGCCTTTGACAACTTTCTAGTAGTCGTGGTGGACTCTGGCAAGCTGCTGGACCCACAGGAGTTCCTCCTTACAGGAGCCCAGCGGCAACTGAAGCTTAAAGGCCTTATTACTGGCATTGGCTATGAGGTTATGCTTTATGGTTTTGCCAAGGGGCACCAAACAAAGCCCCTAAGCACTGTGGCTGTTACAGGTATTTCAATGTGAACAAATTGTTCTCTTCCACCCTTTCTTTCTTGCTTTTCTTCTCACATGGAAGATGTTTCATGCAATCCATTTGCCAAAGCAAACCTTGGCTTTTGCATTCTTTTCTGCATCGTGGCTACACATAACTCCTCATGATTGAAAGGTTCACCAAAGAAATTCCATTCCTTTTAACTTGATGTTTCCCTTTTGTCTTTATGAGGGATCCCGTAGAGGCGCATGACGTGGGTTGAGGGGTGAAAGTTTCTGGTATGGTCATGCAGGTACTTCTAACCGAATTCTTTAAAGAAAAATGGCTGCATGCAGTAGCTCGTCTTGTTAACAGCTGCTGGGCACATCAACATTCTCCAACTTGCCAAATGTCAGGACCTTCAGGAAGAGTCATCGATTTCTTGCCCATGGCCTCCGTTCTTTCACTCTCTGTGTGGGTTCCACCCAAAGACCATTGAGTGTGATATTGCCACGCATAAAATTGACATCTCTCTCCAGAAAACATTAGCTCATGTTTTCAACTTCATCACCGCTGCTGTTTTCCAGCAGCAGTTGAGCTTTCTTGAATGATCATTGCAGACTGATTCTCTGGCCCCATAACCATCAGGTCTCATCTGCATGTTGCTGTCTGCCCCCAGCAGTAAAGCCGGGGGTTACCTGATTGGAGGTTCATGAGAGAATAGATAGGAATGTCTTTCTGTGGAAGAAAGAAGTGCATTGGAGATGCTGTAAGACAGTAACCACTCCAGTAGCATTTCTCTGGGTAATGATGCCTGACCATACTGAGCTAAAGATATTTTGCAGGTAATTAATAACTTACAGCTCCTGGGATCCTCTTTAGTGGGTTCTTTCACTAAAGACAGGAGGCCTTGCATTTGGATTTAAGTGTGCTCTTTAAGGGATATGAATTTTCATGATTCCCCTTTGCTGCTTCAGCATTTGTTTAATATCAGAGTAAAGGATTCATCTGATCAGAAGCACCACAGATGCCCAAAGTGCATGAAATAAGGGTTTTGCATGAAGAAAAAGAATCTTTCAAGTGGCTTCTATGTTGTCCTCCTAACAGAGAGGGACCCGACAATATTACAGGCATGCTTGCAGTTCTATAACCAGAGCTTGTTTTTATCATACATAAAGATTTTACATAGGTAGCGAGGGAGAAATGCACATCAAACTCACTGTTAGCATGTGTAACTTTGCATGTCAGAGGCAAATGGTGTATGTCCATGCAGTGGGTTTGCTATTAAAGAGTGAAAGTTTGAATGAGCCTGCACACACTGCTGTATCTCCAGTATGTGTTTAATGCTAATAGTTTTTTGGTTTGTGTTTTTTTTTTTTTCCCCGGTAGCTGGCAGATTGTTTCCCTTTCTTTGAACTGTGGTTGGATTCTTGAGGTGTGCTATGTCCAGACCTCGGGCAGGTGTCTAATGAACTGATTAAAAAAATGATTTCTTTTCCCTACTACTATCTTCTCCTTTTTTAGAAGCAGAACCTGAGGTCGACAACCTTCTGGTTTCAGATGCTACTCCAGATGGCTTCCGTCTGTCCTGGACTGCAGATGATGGGGTTTTCGACAGTTTTGTTCTAAAAATCAGGGATACCAAAAGGAAATCTGATCCACTGGAACTAATAGTACCAGGCCATGAGCGCACCCAGGATATAACAGGGCTGAAAGAGGGTACTGAATATGAAATTGAGCTCTATGGAGTTAGCAGTGGACGACGTTCCCAACCCGTAAATGCAGTAGCAACCACAGGTATTGTCTTTGCAGTAGGAAAAGTGTAACATGTTGATGCCTGTTTCTTTCAGCATCTTTCATTTTCATAGCCAGCTTGAGCTGTTACTGAGGTGTTTGAACTGTCTCCTGCATGTGCCCTATCCAAGTTATTTGTTCAATGTGGTGTAGTTATTTATAACCCATCATCTCAGACTCCTTAGCTTCATCACTGTCTATTTAATATGGTTTTATTTAATTACTTTCATGATCTGGAATTAGGCATCAGAGCCTAGTGATTAAAGCACTGCCTTTGAGGGCCAAGCAATATTGTCTCCATATCAGCCTTTTTCAATCATTTCCTGTGACTAATTATGTATCACCATTGCACAACAACTTACCTCCTTAGAAAAGAGGGATGACAAAATGAATTTACCAGAGCTATTGAGAAGTCTATTTATGCCTTGAGCAGCAATGGACTAACCACTGTTAACTTAGACTGATCTTACCAGGAGCAACATGTGCTCAATAGTTCAAAATAAACTTGAGTTTCTTGCAAAATCCAAGCTTTGAACTCCCTCAGCAGAAGTTGCGATATATTCCCATTTTTGTGTGTCAAAAATCCTGATGTAAATTAGCTTAGTGATTTACCCAGGTAAAATCATTCAGAAGAAAAGATGCTGGTATGACTGCCAATTCATGCCATTTTGGTTTAAAAATACCAAGGCCTTAATCCTCAACTGCAGCACGCCAATAACACAAAACTGGAGTTCTTGCCTTTCACAGTCTCACATTAATGAAAAAACATTGTAAACATAACTGCAAATGTCTTTCTCTGAAGTTAGCCTACACCTATACATGTTTCTGAAAAATCTCCGTATTTTTCATTTTCTCAGTGCCAGGGAGAAGAAGGAAGTTTTTGTTATTTGTAACTGGACTATTATTTCTTCTATTATTTTTCTATGAAAATACGTAGATACTAGTCAAGTAAAAAGTTCTTGAGGCTTAGGTTGAATTCCTTAGGTTAATTTAAACAAAAAACAGTTCATAATTTGAAGCAGTTAATGTTGGCTTTTCATTTTTTTTCCCACCAAAATCATGTTTTCATTTTGAAAAACATTTACATCTCAAGAAAATGAAGCAATGTCCTGTGACCCAAAATCACTCTTTTAAAGATTTTGAGCTTGCTGATATGAAAACATAGTAATTTCAAATCAACCTAATTCTGAGAGGAGGGGAACAAGAAGGGGACAGGTAAGTTCAGTGTATGAGGAAGCAAACAGAAATGCAGAAAAGAGACCTTTGCCCAGCTGTAGCAGTGTACTCCAGACAATGCCCAGAAAAGGGACAACAATAACTCAGTATTGAACAGCTTTTCCTGAAATAGCATGGCCTCATGATTCACCTTAATGTCTGTGGTGCCACTTGTTAGCATGGCAAGGCACGTTTCTGACCAGCTCCACTGATTGCTGTCACATCCCTTGAATAAACAGTAAGGGCATATATATACTCACCCAGACATTTATATGAAGCAGAACATGCATCCATCACAAGCCACCGTTCTCCAGGCTCATGCAGATTGACTCATAATGGAGAGGAATGTTTAAAGTCAACTGCACTTGTTAGCACCATGTCCCCATTTTCACTGACTTCTAGGATATTTATGGTAAACCACGAAGAGTTATCATTTTCCTCATGACTACATTCTTATTCAGTTCTTTCAAGCAGATTTAGCACATGTCACCTACTGAAGCCAATAGCCCAAAAGATGTTTGTCAGATGTAAATAGCCCATGGATAATTGATAATAGAGCTGGAGCCACAAAAATCCAGCTAAATAATTTGGACTGCAGATTTCACCACATTGGGTAGCTGGGCCGCCAAGGCATCTAACTAATTTCTTTTTTAGGAGTTGATTATTAGACAAGCATATGTACATTTATAGCATCTTCAGTCTGGTTGCAAAGAAATATTTCTCCCCCTGAAGGGCATAGCTCAGACAGGCTTATATTCAGCTTTACTTTATGCTGGCCTGTGTACAAGTTACAAGTGAGCAAGGAATAAATTAGCTAGAAAGTCTTTAGCTTTAGTAGAGGAGATAGATAGTAAAATAACAGTTGGAACAAAGCTAGCAAACAGACCAGAAAACCTAAACCAAACACTACCATGGAAATGAAGGCAGGAAAATAATCTAGGTAGAAAATCCTTGTCTGTATTTATCACTCACATCTTCCCTCTTCTTCCCTACCTGGGCACATACCTTGTATACACAAATAGTCTTCAGGGATCAGGTCCTCAGCTGGTGTAATTCATGTAGTTGAGGGAGTGTGGTTTGAGCATTCCTCTCTGAGGGTCTGACCTCTTACCGCGTTGTACAGCAAACCACCGGCCCGCCATGGGGAAGGAGGGGGAGGAAGCATCTTGCAGTGTTTACCTTTTGATTCCTTGTCCTCTTCTGTGGTTTCCTTTCCTTCTTCCTCTTTTAAGAAATCAGCCATGCGCTTTGGATGTGGAAAGGATGAGTAGGGCAGGACTGGCATTTGGCGTTTTCTCCATGTAGCTTGTGTTGGTCCTGCAGCTGGTAACTTGCCTGGAGGCTGAGATGATCTCCCTTGCTTCCATCCCACCAGGGATGTGGTGTGAAACCGTTGGGCATGGGAGTTGACAATAAAGTCATATCTTCCCACACCCATCACCAGTAGTTTTTCCTCCATTATTTACTTGTATGTATGAATGAACAGCAATAGTTTTCCCCCAGAACTGCTGATGATAAAGTTGTTAAAAGGTTATCCTCTTTGGGGTGATGATGGTACCCACTCTCCCTACCCTCTGCATTTGTCTGTCATTTTGCCCTCATCAATTCTGCTGCGATAGAAAACATTAATTATAAAATCACTGTAGCGCAAGGCAGCATCATACACATCTGCGGTGTCTGGTCAAGTTGGCACAAGGGAGTTTGTCCACTGCTGCTCTCAGAGGGACAGTCAGTGTCTTTTGGAAATTCATCTGTATAATGTCTGTTAAGGTGCAATTCAGCCCTCACCAGGGGACCACAACACAGCTAAGTGCCACTTAGTACCCTTGGTAGGAAGTGTGGGTCTCAGGCTGTTACTTTCCTCTTCTTCTAATGGTGTTTTGCCACACTGTGAGAGCATTTTTCATCTGAGAGGATCACAAAACACTTCACATGCTCTTTATACATGATAAATGTAACCTGGTTCTTCCTGTTGCTTAGGAGAAGACAGTCGGTGAACATACTACTATGTCTGTTAGTAATGAAAGAACAATTTTTTAGCAAGAAAATTCCCAAAGAATAGCAGCTACTCAGGTATCATGGGTGCTTGAACAACCTCACAGGGAAGTTGTCCATCTCTCATACAGCTCATGGGATTATCCTCCATGATGCTGGAGGATAATGCTAATTACCTGTATCTGTCCAGTAGATGAACTGAGATTTTTAATAAGTGACAAGACAAAGCACACTGGTCATTTTTTATACCTGCTTAATTTTGGCTTCCAGGTAGCTCAAGAAGATGGTTTCATTTGCTCCTTTTTAACTTCCCTGTGCTCAAAGGTACCACTCTCTTACATCTCTGGGACTTATTCCAGGATTGATGCTTGCTCTGATGGTCTGTTATATTTTCTTTGCCAGGTTTGCACCCAGGAAAGTAGCTGCAGTTGGGGTACTTGGGGATGTGGAACTCCCACATAACCAAGGCTCTTCTTACTACTGTTTGTTATGCAGTTCACAGAAAACAAGCAGGAAGCCCATGGAAGTGTGCACAGCAGAGTCCAAGTGGGATGGATCGGGTACTTTATTTTCTGGGAAAGGTTGGAATTTACCATGTGTATGAAAATGGAGTATTGGTCCATCTCTTTGGTCTCCAGAGTTGTCACTAGCACTTTTCACCAGGGCACCTGGCACTAAGGGCACCTACAATGCAAAGCAAAATCAATGTGATTTTCACCTCTCCTTCCCAGGTTTTCTTTATGGTCTTCTGTTTCCTCAGACTGTACTTAAATCTTAATTAAAATCTTTAAATATTTTCTTTTTTTCTTTGGCTTTTCCATGTGAACAAAGCCCACAAACACAACATGTCTAGTGAGCTCCAGAGAAATTATTTACATTTCTCTTAAGAGCTCAGTTGTTTTTCTTTCCCTGCCTTTCAGCTTATTTAGTGCGTTGCTGCTAGAGCTTTGGGGACACATGGGACAAACAGCCCTCTGACTTCTTTCCCACAGGCACGTTCTTTCCAAGCTATTTCAAGCACAGTCACTTTTTTTTCTCCTCTTGCCCCCCTTCCCCTGCCCTCAGCCTGTCTCCACCACTCTTAATGTGTCTGATGTTTGGTACCTCTCCTCTTTGTGCTAATGGCCTACTCTGTGTGGGCTGTTTATTTTTTTAACACATCAGGATTGTTTTGGTTACTGTCAAAAAAACAAATTGGAAGTGAGGTGCTCAGTGTAAACTTTGAAGTGGCAGGTCTCTTCACCATGTCCTTCCAGAAGCCCTTTCCATCTTGTTTTGCAGTAGCTTAATTAAGCTTTGAACTGGAATGTTTCAGACATGTGTTGGCTTGCATCTTGAGATTGGGTCATTTTGGCAAAACTGGTTTGCCCAGCTTACTGAGGTAATTTATACGGGCAAATGTAGTGCTCAGGTTTATACTGGGAAAGGCTGGGTTGTATGACAGAGAGCTGCAGTGGTCCCACAAGTGCCTTCCTCATGATGGTTGTACTTGGACATCCTCTGGGTGGGTGTGCTTGAATGTACCTAAGGAAAATCATGGTCTCAGATAAAGATTCCAAGAAGAAAATTTTCTCACTTATAGTTTGAAGCCAACAGAAGTTACAGGCAGTCAGTGCTTGAGAGGATGGACCCGTTGATGAACTCACACAACTGAGTCCAGGCATCCTATGTAGAAACTTCATGCTCAGGAAGAGTCATCTCTCCAGGGCTAAGGGCGGCTGTTGGTGTGTGTCACAGATAGGGCTCTGAGACTCAATGGAAAGTCTAAAACTCATCCAAGTGAAACTGGGGTAGAAATATTATAAATATAATGGCTCCTGGGTAATAGAATCTCATTCCTGTAAGTATCCCTCCATAATTTTCTATAACACTGAAATCTCTGTTACTTCTGTGTACATGATATGTAAATACATGTCTGGGGTATTTTTAAGCTATGCACTACTGTAATCTTACTGAAAAAGGAAAATTTAGACCAAATAGATTGTTGCTGTCAGTATGTAATAAAACCATGAACTGTTTCGTACTCCCTGCATTAATGTTGTTTAGGACAGAATTATTGATAGCATCAGCCCTTGGGACAGAAGGAAAAGACAAATCAGTGTTCCAGCACTAAGGACGGATAAACAAATTATTTACCTTTTCTTTCTCTGTGATGTCTTTGTTCTCTGTTATCCACCGACAGTTGTTGGATCTCCCAAGGGAATTTCTTTCTCTGACATCACCGAAAACTCTGCTACAGTCAGCTGGACACCCCCTCGCACCCGCGTGGAGAGCTTCCGGATTTCCTATGTCCCTGTCACAGGAGGTGAGTGTGAGGATGGACAGGGAGGAAGACGGTAAAAGGGAGAGCAGAAAAGGTTTGTTGTGCTGATCTCCATCTCTCAGTGTACCCCCCAGGTGATCTTACACAGATCATCTCTTTTTTCCTCAAACTGCTGACCAGGAATGTGGGTGTGCCTACATGGTCCCAGTATCCGACCTCTGAGCATAGTGTCCCACATCCCGTGGACAAGGCTTGTAAGGGAGCTCAGAGCTAGATGCTGGAATGGTTTTACCCCTAATAGGGCCACATTCACAAAAATCTCTGCTCCCGATGACCCTCCTAAGTAAGCATTTATTTCCAAATTGTCTCATTATTTTGTAGGGACATAATGAGCTAAGCATATTTGAAAAGATGGCCCTTGGAAATAATATTCATAATCCATGGTTATAATTTTTTTCCAAGGAAGTGGTTTTTCTTATTACTCCCCCATGTTGTTTCATTCCATCGATTATATCTCTGTTTTAGTGTTCAGCTTAAAAACTTAGTATATTTAAGCAGATTTTTAGCATAACTTAGGGACAGCTCTAAAAGCAAATAGCTAAAGAGCAAACACTACAGACGTCAGGACCATAAAAGACATATTACTGACTACAACAAGTAAAGATATAGGCCTTTAGACAATATAGTATGTAAGCACACATGCAACTTTAAATATATGGTGATCCCACAGAAGAAAAGGAGCAATCCACAGTCATAAAGTTAGGCACTTGTCTAAGTGCTTTCCTGGAACACACCCAGAATTTGAAACAATTACATGTCCTAAGTCTTCACTCAAACATGCAGCATTTCTTAAAATAATATATACTATATCTTCATTCAAAATGAGATGGGTGAAGGAGAAGCTTCCAGCCCTTACCAGAAACAAAGCAGATCTAAACTACAAGGCCTGTCCTCACAAGTGTATGAACTTCCATGTAGAGTGCTGTGTTTTCACCTTACGTATCATTTGTTATGTTACATTTTTCTGAATGGTAATTTTTCTTACTGTTGGCATACCACTAGGAATATATACAAACCAATGTCTTAGATTTAGGTGTCATGGCAGCAATATTTTTTCTGAGACTGCCCTTTGACATCAGTGATTGTAACTAACTGGGGAAAATTCACCTCCTCCTGTACAAGTACGTCCGTGTTGGTCATAATGTCTAACTTGAAACACGTCCTTCAAGCATTTACTGGAGTATTTTATCATTAATCCCTTGGCATTTGGCTTCATCCTAGGTATTCCAAATGTTGTTACAGTCGATGGAAGCAAGACTAGGACCAAGTTGGTGAAGTTAGTCCCAGGTGTAGACTACAATGTTAGTATCATCTCTGTGAAAGGCTTTGAAGAAAGTGAACCCGTCTCTGGCACTCTGAAAACAGGTAATAATGAGGAAATAGCAGCTTTTCAAATGCATTGTCTGTGCTGTAAGAGAGATTCAGGAACTGGAGCTGAAAACCCACGGAGATCCCATTTTTGCTGTCCACACAAACTGTAGGAAGAATTTGCCCTCTATTTCTTTACATCTTTGTATTTCAAATGAGTATAGAACTTCTAAGTTTGATCAGGCTGCCATTTACT